TCTGACCTGTTGTCCTCCCTTGTTCTGAAGAACCATCCAGTTGTAGGCAGGTCAGCTGGAACGAGGCCAATAGGAAGCATGGGATGCCGCTTATGTGAGTGAGTGTAGGGCATCTGTTTCTTCTTCTTCGTCTTCTCCTTTTGCTTTTTTTTTCGGTCTATATTTTTCATTCTGCTCATGGATGACTCACTGCCCCCCTCTCTCTCGTGGTGTGTGAAATCATAGCCAGTGGTTTGGTTTGATGTTTACAATGCTGTACAACAGAAGGCTCCCTTTAGGATGAGTAGATTTTAAAGACTCAAGAAGACCTTCTCATCAGAGGACCCCCTCTATTTCCCCTCAGTGTCTTTCTCCATCTTCACTTTCACGTTTGTCTATTCTTGAGTGAGGTATTTTATAGGGCTAAGTTCTGTCTTTACTTTGCTTTCACACACACACACACACACACACACACACACACACACACACACACACACGCTCACTAACACGTACAGTACATGCTGATACTCACAGTCACTGTGCAGTCACCTTCCTGAACAGCAGGCAGCCCTGACAGTTAGACGGATGACAGAGTTTGGGCGTTCTTGACAGCATAGAACAACGACCTTGTTGTGTGTCCACAAACTTGCAACACAATGACGTACTTCTTTCTAATAAACGGCCCCATTGCCAAACAGAACATTGACTTTGGGCCTTTCTGCAAAACTTTTGTGATTGTGTTATAACGTCTTTAACATTCAGTGCTTCTGTTTTTTGTCTCGACCTCAACACTCTTACTGTAGCCTACTTACTCGCCTTGTTAAACAAAGGTCACCCTGGTTCAGGTGTTAGCACTGAATGCTGGCACTGGATGAAAATTGTGTTCTTCATAATGTTGAGTCTGGGGCACTGACCTGCTGATAAAATGTAGTTTAGTTTTTAACCAATGTCTAACTAACTTTACACCGGCTCATGCATGCCCAGTGTACGTGAATGGTCATGTATGTATGCATTGTTAGTTTGGACGGATATCGTTTTAAAATGTAAACATAGTAGTGTGGAAATAGCCTCAGTACAGCCTCATTGAAGCATTAGCATGGCTGTTGTCTAACTTTTGAATTCATCAGGAAAGCTTGTCCAAAGAAGAGAAGAAGAGTTAAACCCCTGTGGAAAAAACCCACAAGGAAACTAAACCGAAATGCATTTATTTATTAGCAACTTTGGACACATGTTGATGATACCCATGCTGCATACAAAGAGTCAATTTTGCAGAAATAATAAGAAAATGCACTTCTGCTCCGAGGGACAGCTGGAGGACAGTGATGATAAATATGAGGAACAGTATCAAACAAATCAAAAACCGTGTTTCTGTCTTCAAACAGCGTGTTCCTTAACTAGCTTTTCTTCTGCTTAATTTAGCAAAAGAGAAATACAAGAAGCGGTTTCTTGTACTTACTGATAGTATGTCAAGAGCCAATATTTCTCTTTTTATCTCATGTAGCCTTTTGAATAAATGTAACATAAGAGCATTTAAATTATGGGGCAAGTTGTTTGTCAACTCAGTTCTCTGGTTCTGCTCTGCAACTCTTGAACAAGAATCTGCACTTTTATGCCGACCACAGCAGAACAAGTGAAACATGACAGCACACTACACAAAGAGATATTTTATTGTTCAGACAAAGATCTCACCAGAGTGGCAGCTGGCATGGCGGGTTGTGTTTTCTGAATATGTTTCTCATTTGAGATACAAGACTACGAGAATGCTGGAGTGTTAGGCATCATTTTGTGCCGCTGTTTTGTGTGTCTGTGTGTCTTAATAATGGATGATTAAAGAAGACTGGAGTCTCAGCCATCTGCGTCAGCCACCTCGTGCTGCGGTTAATCACAGATTTAGAGAGAATAAACTTGTATGGGCAGCTTCAGTCCTTTCATCATATACCGCCTTTTTCGTCTCCGCATGAGAGCAAGGTATTTGCCCTCTCTTCACACCAGCTTTCTCTTTTTTTCTTTTTCTTTTGGAGTTTAATGTAATCAAATGTGGCCTTTAGTGAAAGCATTTTACTACTTTGCATTTGTTGCAAGGTACCTGAGTACCAGCAGTGTCTCACAGTGTACTTGATCTTTGAATAAAGAAACTCACAGCAGTTTACACGTTGCTGATAGTTGCAGTGTGGCTTGTTGCATAATATATACTGTGTATGTCTTATTGTTATTAGACTGGCTACCACTGTCTACAGTACTGACAAATACATATATAAAAGAAACTGCCTTTCAGTAGTCTTTCATAAAGATTATTCAGAAACTTAATGTTTTAATGTATTTCATCTCTACTTACTATTACCTGATTAGATTCTTACTCAGTATGTCTGTAAATGCTCTTATGCATTTCTAATGCCTTATGTAAAGCACATCGAATTGACAACATGTTTGAAATGTGCTATGCGTATTGCCTTGCCTTTTGTTGCTTTGAATCCGACAAAGACAGCACTTTGGATTGTTGCTCTCTTAGTGGTTGCAACACCAACTCGTGTGCAGAAATTGCTCCGTTTGCAGTCAAAAGGTCCACTAATGCATATAAGCATTGTGTGGTTGTATTTGCAGTATTTCTGGTTTTTATTTTATTTTTATTTTCATTTGTGTGAAGCACAGACAGTTCTCTGAATATGCAGATCCATGTATTAGCTGATATAACTCCCAATGCATACAGTAAAAATATGTTCTGTTAAGCAGTAGCAGGGTGGTGAAGTGAAACCATCCTCCTACTAAAGAGACCATGTTCATATGTTATCAAAGCTGATCTTTGAGCAAGAGGCTGAATCTGTAGCAGCCGCAGGGGTGTTGTACTGTGACTGCCCTGTGAACGGAGAAAAGCTGACGAGGAAATTTAACAATAGGAATCAATATTGCCTTATACAGTATCATAATTTTTTTCTGTACATTTCTGCCAGAGCGTTCAGTTTGCTGACATATCATTCAGTCACTGAAAAGTGGGCCGGGTGGCTTTTGAACCTTCCAGTGCTTAGCTAGAACCTTCAGCTCAGCATAACCTGCCCCAGAATCCCAGCGCGTTTGACCCAGACCACATACAGTGTACGACACATCAACTCTTTCAGGCTGATGCTGTTCAGAATTTTGTTTCTTTTCTTTTTTTATCTTTCCACTTTTCCTACAACCACAGAATTTTTCCTAAATGTTCTGTTTTTCTCATTTTTCTAACCTTTTAACCGCCAGATATGTCGTGATATATTTACAGAACGTCTCAATCATAAACCTGCCCACATCCACCTTTTATATCTAAGCTGGATTTCACCCGCTTGGCATGAGCGCAGACACTAAAAGCACATCATCACATAGACAGTTACTTCAGGTTTATTAGTAAGTGGAAAGTGGCCCATCTCCCTGACATTTATCGGGACATTAAAATATAAGATAGTGTGTATAAATGCACAGGCAGTTATTATCTTGTGGACATCAGTGATATAATTCAGTGCTCACATACTGTGCTTACAGTGAACAAGACTGTACCACTCACTGTGTACACACCAGAATTTAAATAAAGATTTTGAGACATGTACATATTTACACAGTGTAACCACTCATACTGATGTACAGACATAAATGATTGTCATTTATGTTCTTAGTCAATTTTATGCTTGTATTACTCACACAAGGCATTTCTCACAACAGTTTATAAGGCTTCCAGTAACGCAGAAAAAACAAAAATGGGAAGATTTTTCTTCATTTTCTTTTCATCATTTGTAGGTTAAATAAATACAGATCTCTATGTTTTCATTTGTTAGAAAATTAACCTTTCTTATTGTCTAAGTTGTTATTCAGAATGACATTCTGACTCCTATATTTTTAAATGTCTGCCAGAATTGCTTTTCTTTCTCATCATGCCTCATGGTACTTGGGGTCATCTGTATTCTGTTAACTTTCCCTGTTTGTTAAGCAAAGCCAAGGATGAGGGGGCAAATACCAGCCAACAGACAGCTTTGTAAGGACTAAAGTCAATTATTTAGTTAATGGAATTTTCCCAGTGTTGTCAATAGAGAATGGTCGCCTTGCTATCGATCAGTGTCAGTCATCTCCGATGAGCGCAAATCAAAAAGCCATTAAAAATCACACTGGCTATCAGATCATGAAGGGGTGGAGCTGAGATATATGAGGGACAGAGAGAACAAGAGACAGTGAAAGAGAAACAGCAAGAGAGAAAGCGCACTACAAAGAGACACAGCCAGAATCAATTATCAGGAAAGAAAGGGAGTGGATTTGGTTGTAATTGGAACAGATGATAACTGACTGGAGATGAAAATGAATCTTTCAGGAAACTATTAGTTGTCACTTGACATAGCTTCTGTGAATAAATATCCTTCATATAAGCAACCAAAAGAAAGACTCATGAACGCTTTATGCAAATTTTCTAAGATCCTTTTTTTCACAAAAACTACTGTGTGTAAAACAGTCATTCCATCGATTGCAAGGTGACCAGTGTGCAAGTTGCAAAAATACGCAAACTGACCTGACAGTAATTAGAGTATTGGGATTAAACAGATGTATAGACATTTTTCACTGAAAACATTTTGGCATGTCACAGCAGGGAAAGCACAGGTGTCAATAATAAAATGACCAATAGCTTAAATCCATAGTTGCTTCACTTTAAGGACCACATAATAGACCTTTTCATAGCAGATGTTTTTACCTTGTCACAACAGGAAAAGCACAGATGTTACTAATAACATTAATTATGGCCGTGTTCCATTTAAGTGCTGCTGTAAAATGTCACACACCCAAAGCTTTCGCAAATCCTGAAAGCACATATTTGTATACATACACACACACACACACACACACAACACCACACACACACACACACACACACACACACACACACACACACACACAGAATCCACAGACAGTAAACATGAGCAGGTGTCAGATCTCAGCAGCTTTGGGATGCTTGGAGTCACTGAAATGCCTGGGATGACTCTTGAACTCTGTGTCTACTGTTTCCCCTCCAGGACTGGCTGAGCAGGTTCGGCTACCTCCCGCCCCCTGACCCAGTGACTGGTCAGCTTCAGACCAAGGAGGCCCTGACCAAGGCCATCAAAGCCATGCAGAAGTTTGGAGGGCTGAAGGAGACCGGAGTCTTGGGTATGTGGCTGTGTTTGTTTTGGGTCATGGAAGAGTTGGTACTTTGGTTTAATGGAATCACTGTGTGTGTTTTTACTGTGTGACCACAGTATGTATTTTAATGAAAAGTGTACCTTTGGAAAAAGTACAAGATATACCCTACAATATAATGCAATCCAGCCAACACAGCGTGTGGCTATAGGAACTGCCACTGAGTTGAATAAATGTCACAGTGACACAACAGCCACTGAATATTAGAAAGGTTGTACTTATCTAACTTCTTTCTATTGGGTTGCATTAGATTGCCAACATGTCTATACACCATGATACACCTTGAAAACAAATCATACTTGCTGTCTCACACACACACACACACACACACACACACACACACACACACACACACACACACACACACACACACAAATAGTAGAAACACAATGCTGCACACTATGTGACTGATAATAGTGGTGTGTGTAATACAAAATAACAGTATATTGATTAGTATACAGTACCCTCTACTATTTTTTCACACCCTGTACAAATTGTTTCTGTACATAGGTATTGCCAATCTGACTCACACATACACTCCTCTACAAACAGTGTCATTCTTTACGGCTGCTCAAACTCATACAGGACTATAGAGAATAGGAAGCATGATACTGTGTGTGATTGATTTTAAAAACAATGCAGTGGTGTGTGTGTGTGTAAGCAAGAATTTACAAGAATTTATGGCCTGAACAGTGGTGTGTATGAGAGTGTGATTGTGCATGTAAGAGGGTATCCTAGAAAGCATGTATGATTTATGGCCCAAATAGCCTCTCATAAGCTATCGCACATGCACATATATATGCATATAAGGACATACAATATGAGTTACAGCTACTTAAGCAGACATTTTCAAACCGATGTTGAACCATGGTGGTGGATCAGATGTTTTCCACTTAATACATTCATGATAACATGTACTCATGTGGTGGCTATAAATAAAGTCAAAAAGTTGCAATCATGGTGTTATATTAATATTAGTTTTGATAAATATAATTCCACTAGTTTGCAACACAGTCACCTCTCCTTTCGTCTGCTTTCCTCTCCACTCCTCTTTAGACCAAGCCACATTGGGTCTAATGAAAACACCCAGATGTTCTCTGCCAGATGTGTCTGAGGCTGAGGTGACAGTGGGCCGCAGGAAACGAGGCTTGAACCCTCAGAACAAATGGAATAAGAGGCATCTTTCCTGGAGGTAAGGAACAATTAAGTGCCATTCTACTGTACGTTACACAGTAACACCTCAAGGGAATAGAATGAGCAATATACAGAATCATATTTGACATTTTCAAGTGCATTGAACCACTGAACAAAAATCATTCACCATTTACATCTGTAGTAATGCTGAATGCTGAAGGGTGCTTCACACTGATGAGACCATTGAGTCAATGGACTCAGAATGAGTTCTTATCCCCATCACATTGGCGTGTATTGGGCAGTGAGAGGCTTCTTGCTGTTGCTTGGCAACCACATTATAAGCTATAAGTCACTTGTATGTGTTGTGTGTATGTTAGCCATAACTAGTGGTGGAAAATAACTAAATACATTTACTCAATCACTGCATTTAAGTATACTTGTGAGGTACCTAGATAGTAGGATATAAGAAAATATCTTTAAAAGAAGTTATTTAATTTGTTTACATTCACAGCAGAGGCTCGTCTGTTACATATGGACAAATTATTATTCATAATACACTGTGGAAACACAGATTAGAGCCTTAGCTCAGAGAACAAATATCATCATCAGGGTTACAAAATAAAATCAACAAATAAATTATGATTTACAATTACAGATTAAGCTACCAAGCAACATATAAAGTAGTTATAATCACCCTTACCACTTTTACAAGTTGCAACATTAAAGTGTAAATGATTGTAATCAAATGATAATTGAATAAAAATAAAATACATAATTCTGATATTCTATATATATTATTAATATTTTTATATTTTCATTTCTCCTGGAGTGTATGAGAAATTGTCCAGTTGGTCCTTCTTACTTCAAGGCTGGAAGGAGCAAAACACTACAATTCAGGATAATTTTTCTTTATAAGTATGACTTTGTACAAATACACACTACAATGTTTCACTGTTTGTATTTCAGTATAGTTCATTCAGTGTGAAATCAGAGCAGGTTATTTAAGTCTAACACAATTATGTTTAGTCCAGCTCAGCACATCACATTGGTGCACCTGCAGGGAACTAGAAGTCATAAACCTTTACATTTTTACAATTTTTTTCTCCATCTGTGCATCCCCTGATAGATTACATTAGGTGATTGTTCCTCAAGGCGGTGGTCTTTTGGTTTCTGGATCAATTGTGGCTCAGAGGGAGATCATTGTGTTAAAGTGGCATGCTGGTTAGAAAGACCAGCAGCATGCAGAGAGACAGCAAGTGCTTACCCCTTCTCAGACAGTTTACAAAGAAACAAATTCCTATTGCTGTGTATAAAATGTGTAATAATTTAAAACACTGGTGTGTCTCAGTAAGAGTAATGGATGGAATAGGAGAGGTTTTTGCACACATAAAGTAATTGCATCACCTGGTCCGTGCAGTCCCACTCACAGACCAAAGTCATCTGTATGATTCCTGAAGAGCAAAGGCTTCATCACAGAGTCATTCTGCGGTTTATACAGTACATGATAGAATAATATGGTCATGCTAAGTGCCAGCGAACCATCTGTCAGGGATACAGCTTAGTGCTAGACAGCAGAGGAGGAGGCAGTGAAACATATGGTTGGCCTGTGCTGTTCCACACACACTATCAGGGGTGATTCAACAAGGAGATGATCTAAAGCTGGTGTGTTGTCTAGTTTGTACATTTTGTGTGCACCCAGGCGTCGAAAGGCAACAATCTACACATTAATGTAGTCCCCTTCCACATTACAGCTTGTTTTCTGTCTCCCAGCTAGTGAGAGATTTGTTTAGAGGGTCACTGGTTCTCAGTCAATCAGCCATTAGACACAAGTCATGACAACTTTTGATAAAATTTCACCACTGACTGCTCCATGATTTCATCCAGCTGTATTGTTGGTGATGAGATGAGTCAGTCATAAACTAACTTGTTTAATGACCAATTATTATCTTATTACCAATTGAAATTATATACTGTACAGTCACTGCTAGTGAGTGTCTTATTGACACTTTCAGTTGCATTGCTGTTTGCACCTGTCTCAGCTGCATTTTGTATTTAGTGCTAATTAGCCTAATTTTAGCACGATAACACACTCAACTAGGCTGCCTGTGCACATCCTAACATCCTAACAGTTGCTTAGTTGCTCATTGATAGTCTGTTGCATCACCTAGTATAGCTCTTTCAGTGTACATTGAGTGCTTATTGATTATCCAGTGATACAGTTTTGGCTGTAAATTTTAAAGCTGCAAAGTTTCTAACTGTGTATGAAAATAAAAAACTGCTAAATATTATACTTCAGGACTGCTAACAGCTGCAGGATGTATTGCATTTAGGTACACTAACAAGCAAATGACAGAAAATAACAAGAAACCTGCAGTAGAGTTGATCTGTGTCACTTGACTGTACTGTCTTTCTGATTTAGTTTTATTACTATTCTCCTTTTTCACAAGTGTAAGTGGTTAAATAGCTTTAGTTCTGATGAGGAACAGGGTGTTTATAGCTGACAGGTCAGCACAGCATCTCAGGTTAGTGGGGTGTTGCCTTACCACAAGCTGCAGTGTGCACCACAACAGACAGGTAGACTGTGAAAATCTTGACTATGCTTGAGAACATGTGATGCTGAGAATACTGTTTGTCAGTAAGTTTGGTTTGCAAGTGTGTTTCAGTTGGAGTGAAAAATATGCTGGTATTGTAGACTATCAACATGACAAGCTGCCGCCTGTATGATTAAGGGGTGTATTTGTTTGGTTTACCAAGATGAAATTATCTTTTGTCATTCAGAGTATGGGTGGGACAAAATATTGATACAGGACTATATTGTATTACTTCCTCTTGTAATTTGTTATCGATACACTGGTGCCAAATATCAATATTTTTAATAAAACATGCATGCACTGTAAACAGATCGTGCTAATTTTACTTACCAGAGTCACTACTTCATGACTCCTCATGGTGGCGCGACTCAAACGAATGATGGTAAACTTGTGGTGAAGAAGAAGAAACTCACAGGGGGAACATAGAAGACAAATCAGAGCAGTACCATCATCTTTCAAGTTGAAAGTCTGGTCCGACTTCAGCTTTTACAACGCTCATGGCACAAATAAAATCAATAAAGACTATGCGATATCAAAGGCCACACACACACACTGCCAGTCCAGAAATGCTGTCCTGCACACAAACACACACGCATACACTTTAACTACTCAGTGCTCTGTCAGCAGTCTCTTTCTATTTCGTCTGACGGAGAGATCAGGTCTTTCCCTCTCACACACCAACACACACTTGGGCATAAACACATGCAGGCTTCATGAAGAGGAGTGGATCGGTCAGCAGTCTGCTGCTAATGAGACTGAACGTACACAGAGATACACACACAAACACCTACACACTGGGCATTTTACTGTCATGTGAATTATAGCTGGCAGCTGACTAAGACAGGGACTGCTGTCTCCAAGTTTGGATACTGATATGAGAGAGAAATGTGTATTTTTGTATCAAATTATTTTAAAACACTTGAACTCCGGAACTGTTCAGCCTTCTGGCAGTTCAGGCGTTTGCTGTTTTACATTGGAGTGATGGCACACATGAACATGGACAAGTTGCAGTCAGAGTGTGTGTGAGGCCCGAAGCTAAGACTCTATGCACTTCATCTCAGTTGTCGAATTCTGTGCAACTGACACCACAATGCAGTGAATAAATACATGATTCCTGCTTTTTGATTTTTTAGTATTCTTCTTCTTCACTTTCACAAATATCGTGGTCTATCACAGTAGACTGCCTTGCAATGTATTGAGTATTGCAGAATCGCTGTATCGTGATACCATCATTATCGTTCCCATCCCTAATTTCCAGATGCTTATGTCGTAAAGCTTTAGGTCAAGATAAAAAGTGAGTTGAAGAGGGTTTGCCAACTTGTAACTAAAAAGGTCTCCATTGAGGAGACAGCCTCAAGTAAGTAATCAGGGCTGAATCTGCATTAGGAAGTTGCAATATGTTTGTTTGACAAGTACTGGTTCAACAAGTGTTTATGAGCCTGAGGAAAGTCTTACATTGTCTTATGTTGGCCAGACCAACCTGCAGTTAAGGAGAGTGGGACACACAGGCCAGATGGGCCAAAGCATCAAGAATGATGAACTGAGGAGGCTAATAGAGCTAAGCTAGGACAGAAGGAAGGCAAAATGAAGCAAGATGCCAAGGGAAAGCAGGACATCAGGGCACTGGAGAATTGAAGAAAAACAGGTCGATAAGCAGGAACTCTCAGCTGATGAGAATGCTGTCCGAGCAAGAGGGAGTGAGGAGGATGCAGTAGTTACTGTAAAAGCAGAACAGAAAGTAAAGTAGAGTTCAGTAGAGAATCCAGATCCAACAAGAGCACAGTTTAACTACAAACCCTTTGTAAAATGTGCTATAGTCTGTTGTTACTAAATTTGTTTGTCATTGTTATCCATTTGTAATGATGAGTGCTTCATCATAAACCTGTCCCTAAACAGAACACTGATATTGGACAATGCTACAAAATTGCAGATTTGAGTAAAATGTCTCAACACCTATTGAATGGATTGCCATTCAATTGTTGGTTTATTTCCAATGTTAATGTTTGGTGAGAGTGGGAATTTGTCCAACACTTAATGGAACCAAATACCAGGAAAACTAATGGCATTCCCATTAACCATGGCTTTTAACATGCTGATGTTAGCATTTAGTTCAAAGCACCGTGTCTAAGTACAGCCTCACAGAAACATGGCTAGCAAGGCTGCAGGATCTTGGTCTTGTCAAAAGTTCACTGGCAATGTTATTTAATTACTTATTTCTACAACATTTATGCCTGGCAACTCCAGTATGGTTAAGGTTTGGAAAAGATTGTGCTTACAGCAAAGAAACATTTGTTATACTGTGGTTAAGGTAGAATTAAGGTTAGCCAACTAGATCACTTGCTTATAGTTTGGGACAGATTGTGGTTACAGTACAAAAACAACAAAATAAATAAAGACATGTCTTGTGAGTTGTCAAGAACATGGAAGTCACCCTGGCCTCCACATCATAACTTTGGACTTGGCTACA